ATTCTGGGGTTACTTCAGGGGCTTAACTTATGGTTTTGCCAAAATAAGATTCATAAAGTTAAAAAAATAAATTATTTCCATTGTACATTCCAGTGCGAAGGCACAGTACTATACAGTATGTTTTTAAAGTACGCTGTTAAAAAATCCTTGGGTAACTAACTTGCTTCGTCTACGGAATTTAACGGAAGGACAAAAAGGAGATTCAAATTGAGGAGTTTAGAAAAGAAGTCGAGTCAAATCTAATTCATCAAAGTTTACCGGAAAGGGGTTAACCTTTAAATCATCAAACAGAACTTCGGCCCACGAAAGTTGACAGTTTTCTTTTTCAGTTTGGGCCGGGTCATGTTTGTCCGCGGTTTAAAAGCCCAATCCCTCCCTCCTTCCCTGTAGGGTGAGTATTTTTGGATAATGATAGATATGAGATAAATTTAGTATTTAATTTAAAAATTTTAAGTATAACTTTTTAAATTTGATACTTATCTAAATATTTAAAGATTTATACAATTATATTTAGTACTTAATCTAATAAGTAGCAAATAACTTGTGGGTATATATTTATATCCTTATTGAATAATATTTTCTTTAAATTTTTTTAAAAATTAAAATTTAATAAAATGTTATTTATTTTTAACCTAAATTTAAATAAAATTATAATAAAATATTATTTATTACAATTTAAAATCAAATATAATCTAAAATAATAATAAAAAATTAAAATTTAGTTTTATATCTGCAACTCAAATTTATGCACTATTAAAAAATTAAATTTAGTTAAATGATTAACAACAAAGAATGAACTAAAAAAATCACTAATAAAAAAAATAAAAAAAATTAATAAAAATCAAACTTTGATATTCTATGTACTTATCTTTGTTAAAGAGTGCAAGGAATAAAAAAATTATTAACTGCATAAATGACATATATTTGATTTAGAATTTATTATTTATAAATTGTATAAATGATTTTTTTAAATTTTTATATCTTATTATTTTTATTTTTAAAAATTATAAATATATATAAAATTTTAATTATATAAATACAGATAATATATTAATTAAATAAAATAACTAAACATATCAAAATAAATAATTTTAACCCATTGTATTTATTAACTAATTTAATTCGTATAGATATATTATTTTCATAGTTCTTTTTCTTAACACTTTTTCTAGTACTTGTAACGGGTATATCCGTAGGCAATGCTCACCCCTACTTCCCTCCACCTCAGACCTCACGGCGGAATTACAGAGATTTGGAAGCTGCAAATCTGAATTGGATTAGGGTAGATTTTGATTCTCCTATTTCTGTTACTTGTTCTGATTTCAGTTTCAAACTGCGAAGGGTGAAGATGTTTGGGAGAGCGATTAGGTATTTTTCGACGAAACCAAAGCCGAAGATGAAACCAATAGAGCTGAAATCGCCGCCGGAGCAGACGCAGACGATAACCAGAGTTATCTTCGACATTCTCAAGGAGCATGGACCTCTCACCGTCTCTGATACTTGGGACCGCGTTAAGGAGGTTGGTTTGAGAGAATTGAAGGGGAAAAGCCACATGAAAATAGTGTTGAGATGGATGAGGGAAAGGCAGAAGATTAGGCTGATATGCAATCATGTCGGCCCTCATAAGCAATTCCTTTATACCACTTGGTTCACTAAATCAAAGGTGAAAGCGGCAAAACCATTGAAGGGTTCTTCGGCTACAAACTCACCTGCTAAGGATTCTTCAGTTCCAAAGTAGGATTCGGGTTTGCTACTGCTGTGATGTTGCCGCTCTGAGAATTTCCCTCTTAGGAATTCACAAACTCTCCGATACTTAGAATTCCTTCTTCGAATTCGCTGCAGTGTCTATTACCTGTTTGACAAAATGCCTCATCCAAATTTGAGAAAGGACTTCTATTTCAATTCAAAGATTTTTTGTTTTTTTTTGTTTTTTTTTTCTAAATTCTCTTTGATGTAACTTGTACTGTGCAAATTGGGTTTTTATTTAAATATGTTTTTCCATTTGATTAGCAGGTTTTGAAGTTTAAGATTTGAAAAACATCATAGAATGTTCTATCTTAGCTTGATTGAGCACACATTACGTTTGCCTCCTCATCTCCTTAATGTTCCACTCGATGAAGCTCTTAAGATGGAACTTGAAAGACTTTTCTTAGATAAGGTCGGAAGAATTCCTTCGGTTTATTTACTTTCGTTTTTCACCTCTTGGGTATTCTATGTTTGACAATATTAACATTATGGGTAATGAAAGTTATTGCAAACCTTGGACTTTGTATCTCAGTATATGACATTCAATCAATTAAAGGTGGCTTTATCTTTTTCGGAGATGGTGCTTCAACATACACAGTATGCTTATCATGGACTTTGAGCTTATTATAATTTTCTGATTCTGAGAATTTTGTTTTGCTAATGCTAGGGATTGTCTCTCATAACTACCATCAATTTGTAGATTCTACTTGATATGTGAATGGTATTAAAGACTTTAGCTTTTAGTACTATAGTCCTCAGCCCCTCTTTCCAAAAGAAAAGAGAGGATAAAAAGGTGAAATAATAGACGAAAAGGAAGGGTCCTTTTTCTTGTGTTTGATTTTAAGGGGATTATTTATCATGATATGTGTTTTTTTAAACACTATAGGTAAGAAAAATTAGCTTAGTCTTCAGTGCTATGGTTGTTTCTCTGATTTCACGAGAAAGACTGCCTTCAAGTGTGTGTGTGGATGTATGACCTTCTCAAGCTTTTTTATTTTAGAGGAGATTAATACCTTATACCTAGATGAGGGATTTAGTTCACTATGAATGTAGGATATCAAGATTCTTATGAAGAATTAACTCTTAGATTGCAATTTAGCTTGTCCTGATTTTCACTGTAGTGAACATTCATGCAGTGCTTGAGGAGAATAAGTTTTCTGATCAGGAAAATTTGTACTTTTTCTTCAAATTTCTGTACAAAGTATCATGTATTTATGATGTTTAGGGTTTAGGGTTTATCCTCCTTTTACTTAACTTCCCTGTTGAGATTTTGGTTTTGAGTTGCTTCATTTGGTGATTTAAGCTGCTAAAAGCTGTGTAATCCTTACATTTAGCAATTCCTTAGTCCTTTTTGTTCCGTTAGATACTACTTCCGTCCATTTTTAGTTGTCACCCTTTCATAGGGAGTGTTATTGCAACTAAAAATGGACAGAGGTTGTAGTTGTTAGCTGTTCCTTTTCTTCCTCTCAGTGAATTTTATTATTAAAATTGGTGTACATAAACAATCTCAAACTATAGTAGTTAAGCATTTACTGAAATTTTTTATTTTGCTATGTTGCAGGTTGAGTTCAGACTTATAATGTTTTGTCCATTTGTGGGTGAAATTATTCTTGCAAAACTGAAAGAATCAGATGCTAATGGTTTGCGCTGTATGTCCAACAGACACATATCTGCATATTTGACTAATTTCTGTAGCTTCTAGTGGCAGTCAATTGTAGGAATAGCTTCTGAGCAACTTAAGGATTCTAATCTTTTGGAGGATTATTTCATAAACAGTCTTCCTGTTCAACTATTTTTGGTTCCTTGTTTCCTTCTAAGGATATATTTAAAAAGCCTTTCGCATTACCATCTTGCTGCCCTTGTCCCTAAACTTGTTTTATAATGCTCCTTTTTCTAATGTGCTCATCCTTTCTTGTGATGCTATTTCTGAATCATTATGAATTACATCTGCTTGTTACCCGCTTATTGATCTCAATTCTATAATTTGCAGTGTCCCTTGGATTTTTTTTATGATATTTACGTACCTGCCAATCTCTTGCCAAGTCTAAAGTGCTTTGAGCTTTATACTAATAGCAGGTAAGAATCATTGTTGAGCTTATTGTACTCTGATGAACTCAAATGTATAATTTTCTACACTCCGTTAATGTTTCACCATTTATTTTCTACTGCTTATATCCTTTTATGACCATGTATGTGGGCAATAGTGCACTTAATAGACAATGTGTTGAGGGTTGTAGGACCCAAGGCAGATGGACATGGGAGTAAAAAGAAGAAATTCAACTTGTTATTGATGGGGAAGACCAGGTTTATATTATTATGATTTCTGTACATATCAATGGACTTTCACTGGCAAGTGTTCATTGAATTAAGGTTTATGCGTTGCAGATTAAATTTCGAGTACACAGTGTTATTTATCCTTCAATTCCAGTTGAGCAACCAGAAAATTCAAATGCCTTTGCCAGTTTGCCCCTATGGTGATTACCGTAAGTTCATTTTTCAAAACACTACACAGATAAATTTCTCTTCTCTCTCTGTTACGCATTATGTCCATATTTTTCCTTTTCTAAAGAAAGCTTGCTTGTTGCTTCCCATGGTGTTGGTTTCCTTGAGAAAACGAACCAATTGTTTCATGAAAGCCTCTAGAGCTGAGTCTACACACAAAATTTATGCTGAGGCTAAATTCTGAAGTATTACAGCTTAAAAACTGGATACATGGACAAGATAGCACTCTCTCGCAACCTTCCTTTTGAGATAATTTGATGCTTTTATATTGCGTTCTTCCCATTTTCATCAGGAGTTTGTTGCTTCCTCCAGAGCGTTAGGTCTATCGGTTTTGCATATAGTCTTATGCATTTAAATGGTTATGAACTATATGTGTTGGTTAAAATTCTGTCCTCCATTCTCTCCTCTACGGTTAAGTTAAATGGCCCCGATTCTGAACGGGTAAACCTTTTGAAAAGTTTCATTAACTGGTTCTCTATTAATTGAGAAGTCTGATTAATAAATTTGTGTCTCTGTTTTACAGGGCGCTATGATTGTGATGGTCTTGGTCCAGTTTCATGGTGGGAGGGAGCGGAAGTTTTGGAGGAAGAAAGTTGAGTTCCTTCCATGGCAAAGATGAGAAAGGTAAATGAACGAATGTGGCTGTATAGGAAGGATCTCTAATTTAATACATGTTTTGGCTACACTATTTTTCTTCTAAACAGTTGGAAGGATGAATAGGTTTACACTTCTACTTTTTTTTTTGAGGGAGCCCCTACAAAATACTTTTAATAGTATAACAAAAAACTATTGTACAATCTTAACTACACAATAGAGGCAGGTACATGAGGATTAGATCCCTTGATATTAGGACTCTTCTCCCATCTAACCATTTTAAAATAATTTACAAGAGTATCTTATAGTTCAAACTACAAATAGAAGATTCATGATATAATTTACAAGGGTTGTTATTTACCATCATTCTTTTTACTTATTATTGCAAGAAATATGATCTAAGATTGAAAAAAATAATAATTGAGTAATTTTTATTAGATAGGAAGATAATTGAGGGAAGATTTTTTTAATAATTTTTTTATATAATCTTATATGTTATAATTTTTTCATCTTAGGTGTTATTCATGATATTATATACATATACTTATTTATATATGTTTGGTATATATTTGGTTTGAAATAAACAAGGGGTGAAGAAAAAGGAAAGGAAATGAAAAGATCATTCATTGAGATAAGGAAATGAATCAAAAGTAATAAATAAAATAAAAGATTTTCATCCTCACTAAAATTTTTTTTATTAACCAAATAAAAAATTTTTTACTTCTCTCTTATTTATTCTCAAAACAAATGATAACATATATTTTTTCTGTTTATAAATTTAGTTTAATATTTTGAATTTTAAGATATAAAATTTAAATAAAAATTTAATAAACTATATAAATAGCAATTAAATTTTTTTTGTCCTTATATAATTCTTATTAAATATTTATTCGATTAAAAAAAATTTTAATTATTCTTTATATAAATTATTAAATTTTTATTTAAAATCTATATTTTAAAAATCTAAAAAGTAAATTAAATTTATTAAAAATAAATGAAATGGTAGAAATTAAATAAAAAAGTTGCTCGGTTGTTGTCCCCAACCATTACCTTGGTATTATACGGTTGAGGCCAACTATAATCCCTCTATTATAAAAAATAGTGTAATTCAAACCTTCTACCATTGATTTGCCTCGTGTCCTTCCTCTATTATTAACTTGACCTATCCTTTCTCTACATATCAAAATCATCCCTCCATCTAATTTAGGCTACTGGCACTATTTGTTGACTGTTTAAGTGCAAACGGTCATATCGTATAGGTTTTTTTTAATCTTTTTTTTGCCATTTGTGCAGTGTGGCCCCACGTTGTTAATCAGCTGCAAACTCTTGGCCCCGTTGAAATTTTTTTTTACACTATTCATAAGTGATAAATTTAAATTTTTATTGAAGAAAAAAATTTAAAAATTACTTTTAAAGATAAAAAAATGAGTAAAAAAAATAAAAATGAAGTTTATGAAAAATTTAAATTTAAAATTTTTGATCTTTTACTGTTTATAATATTTTTAAAGTAAAAAAAAATATTTAAAAATATAAAATTTTAGAATTAAAATTTAAATTTATAAAATATGAATCATATGAAAAAACTGAATAATTAGGGAAGCTCCACCAATCGCACCCTTAAAATTCTGTACAGAATCGCTAGGAGATGGTGTTTAAATGGTTGTGGTGTCAAAGAGCTTCACCGCAGTAAGAAAGAAACCTATTATGCTTCTGGGTGTGCTCATTGGCTATGTGAATCGGAACATCACTGTCTCTGCATAGGATTGCTTTATCCTGTTGACAGAACAAAAATGCTCGTTTCTCCTACAAACAAAGAAAACCGAATTAAACCCATAAATGAAATCAAATTCAATCAAAATCTAAGACCAAAGAAGATTAAAATTATACCTGACAAACAGAGGGGGGAATTGTTTGGTAGAGGGAGGGTGATGGAGGGAAAATTGTTGGTGTTTAGATGCCAATTTGTTGTCATGATGGATGCGGTGGTCGCGCACATCACAAACGGCAACCTTATCGGCCATACAGAAGATTGATGCCTCAGCCTTGTGGCAGACATTGCACTGGATCTTCATCTGGTGATTTCTTCAACCAGACTGCTTGGAATAGAGAAAATGAATAGTAAGAGAATGGGGGCTCAAATTTGGTGTTGTAAGGAAGAAGAGAGATATGAAATTATGAGGTTTCTTTATCAAAGTTTGGGGGTAAGGTATGATTCGTCCCTTTTTCCTTGAAAATTTTTTACATTTTAGTTTTTGGCAATCTCGTCTTGTGCTTCAGCTTGGATGAACAAGTTAAAAATAAAAAAGTAATGACCTCTCTGTACTTAATTTTATTTTTGAGCAATTGATTGGAGAATACCATTTTATAATTTAAACTATTTTAAAATATAATAATATATTTAGTTTGATAGGGAGGAGGGAATAAATAAAATTATTTTTATTTAATTTTAGTTTTCAAAAAGTTTAAAAAAGAGAGAAATTATTTACTTTATTTTTTAAAATAAAGGAAAAGAAATAAAAAAATAAAAAAAGATTTTGTATCTTTCCACTTCCCTTAATTTCTTTTATACCAAACATTCTATAAAATAAAAACTAATAATTAATATTGTACAACTTAATATAATTTAAATTATAAAACTCTTTTTTCTTTTTTCTTTTTCTTTTTTTTTTTTGAAAATAGGCAGTAACACTTTTTTCATTTGATTTTAAGATTTTTTTGTTTTTGAGAATAAAGAACCTGTCTGACTTTAAGTAAAAAAAAAAAAAGAAGAAAAAAGTATATGATATACCATGGTAAACAATTAATGCACTTCTGTTCTCTTGATAATTCAACTTGAAAGGGAATAGAACTTGTAGAAAGCTTCTCTTTGACTGCATTAACCCAGCAACTAGTTTTTTTATTTTTTTAACAACTAATGATGACTTATATAAGAGAAAATTATCTTATTTATTTTTAAAAGTTTTCCCTATTTTACTTAAATTCAAACCTTTATAAGATTTTTAAATTAAAATATTAAACTTTTAACCTTTATCATTACACATTGTCTTTTAATGATTCTATATTAAATTTTAAATTTGAACTAATTAACAAGGTGGAGTCATAATGCACAGTGGCATAAAAAAAGATTAAAAGAGGCCTAAATTTATGATTGTTTGCACTTAAACGGAGTGCAAACAGTCAACAAATAGTGCTGTTAGCCTAAATTGGAGGGAGGGATGACACTGATATGTGTATGAATTATAGAGGGGGGGCAGGTGAAGTTAATTAATAGTAGAGGGAGAACATGAGGCAAATTGATAGTGCAAGGTTTAAATTGTACTATTTTTGATAATGGAGGGACGATGGTAGTAAACCTATTATACGCGCACCCAAGATGGGAAGTATTAGTATAAACTCCCGCACGTGTCGGGCAGCACCTTTCCTGTGGGACCGCCACCAAAGTTGCAGCCACGTCTCCCCACTAAGGCCCTAACGCCATCTCTTCCGTCAAATCCTCGAGTGCACCCACGCGCCGCCGCACAAAGCGATTAATCTCTTCCTCGGTACCCTTTTTAATTTATAAATGATTGGTTAGCTGTTAATTTGGGTGGAAGAAAATCAATTTCTTTTAAATAAATTTTTAAACTTAGTTATAAAATGTAATTTTTAAATATTAGAAATTTAATTAAAAAAATAAATTATAAATGAGATAAGTTCAATTGTATATTAAAAATATAATTTTAATATTAAATTATTATTAATAAAATAATAAATAAAATAGTTTTATTAAGCATATTTAAATAAAATTTTAAATTAAATTACAATTTTAATATCCAATTCCATTATAAAACAATTTTTCGTTTATAAATGGATAGAACTCGCAAAGAGGGAAAATAACGTAACAGAAAATCAGTAACGAAATGGCCCCAACCTCTCTCGCCACTCCCAAGCTTTCTTCTCCCACCATTCAATCTCTCTGCAGAAGTCTTCCCATCTCAGTTCCACTCCCCAGAACCCCAACTTTTCTCTCCCGCAATTCCATCCGAATCATCTCTCCCTCTCACCACCATCACCTGCATCACCGCCACTGCTGCCACTTCGTTACTCATGCAGAGTCCGAAATTGGGACCGAGCAGCCGCGGCACTACGACTTCGACTTATTCACCATCGGAGCGGGCAGCGGCGGTGTCCGTGCTTCTCGCTTTGCACCAATTTTGGTGTTTCAGTTGCTGTTTGCGAGCTTCCTTTCTCTACTATATCTTCTGAAACTACCGGCGGCGTTGGTGGGACGTAAGTCTACAGTATATTGATATGAGAATGCTTATATTACAATTAATATGTTTGTCTAAATATTCCTGATTGTTAAAGGTGGGTGCTTTAAAGCAGCATATATCATTCTGACTTCTGATAGTGAACTTCTTAGTTTCAGCTTTTGCTTTATTACTGGGATTTCAGAATTTGAGCTTCCCCATTAAGTGATATTAGGACTTTTCTTAATCTTATATATGTTTCTATAAACTTGTTTGTATTTGCCAGCTGTTTCTAATGTAAACAAATCTTAGTGCAACCAAAGCCACACTAACCCAAGATCAGCAACCTTAGTGAAGAAAAGCAAACCAAAGAACTTCAAAAATGGCTAAAAAGGAACAAGACTTGTATGACTCTGAATTTCTTCATTACTTAAAAAATAAGATGATGAAAAATACATAAACACTGCTGAAATGAAAAGAAGTTACAAACTGTAAAAGAAACTGCCACACCACTAAACAAAATAAACTAATTGTAACTGTTACAAACATATTTGATCTCACACGCTTACATAACTGAAAGATGAAGAGCTATTCATGAACAGTAACCCTTCTAGAAAATTACTTTACTAATTTTAACACCTAATGCAGGTGTGTAATTAGAGGATGTGTCCCAAAGAAGTTACTTGTGTACGCATCAAAATATGCTCATGAATTTGGTGAGAGTAATGGTTTTGGATGGAAATATGACAATGAACCAAAGCATGATTGGAGCACTTTGGTGGCTAACAAAAATTCTGAGTTGCAGCGTCTTACTGGTATTTACAAGAATACTCTGAATAATGCTAGTGTGACATTAATTGGAGGCCGTGGGAAGCTAGAATGCTTCATTTCTTAGCTGTGTATGATGTGCATTTTATATATTGAATTGTGAATGCATTTCAATGAAATTTGCACAGGTAGCAGATCACACACTGTAGATTTAGATGGGAAACTTTACTCAGCAAGAAATATACTAATTTCAGTTGGAGGGCGCCCCTTCATTCCTGATATTCCAGGAAGTGAATGTGCAATCGATTCTGATGCTGCCCTTGATTTGCCTTCAAAGCTAGAGAAAATAGCAATAGTGGGTGGTGGGTACATAGCCGTTGAATTTGCTGGCATTTTCAGTGGCTTGAAAAGTGAGGTCCATGTATTTATACGCCAGGAAAAAATTCTAAGAGGTTTTGATGAAGAGGTAGTAAAGAACTTTGCTGACTCTTAGTCATTTTTACACAGTTTGCCAAATATATGATGGTTGCTTGATAGATTGCCCCTTGAAATTTTTTTTTTCATGGTGAACTGTGTTTGGTTCCTGTAGATCAGAGATTTTGTTTCAGAGCAAATGTCTCTGAAAGGAATTGAGTTTCATACTGAAGAGTCACCTCAGGCTATCCTTAAGTCAGCAGATGGTTCACTGTCTCTGAAGACAACTAAATGAACTGTTGATGGCTTTTCACATATAATGATTGCAACTGGATGAAAACCTAATATAAAGGTTGAAATGCCTCTTTGTGTCTCTATGCTCTAAGTTACAAACCTAATACACAAGGCTTGGCGTGAAAGCAAACTTGGGTGAAAAAAGACCAAACAAAAGAAAAGATATTTAAAAAATTACAGAGAGAAGGAAATATAAGAAGAAGGATGTGTAGCTTTCTCTTCATCCATCACAATGACACTTCTTCTTTGACTTTATTCTCTGCCTGTTTTAACTTAAATAACCTATAAATACATAAAATAGTTCATGTTCTTTCCACTTTAAAGGTAATTTTGATTTTATATATGAAAGTAGGACTTTTTCAATTATCGAGCAGATGTAATGTGAACTTTTTTACATTGCAGAACTTAGGTTTGGAGGCTGTAGGGGTTAAAATGACCAAAAATGGAGCAATAGAGGTAGCATCCTCATTGCCTTGGAGGTTGTTTTGCTTCTTTTTATTATTATTATTATAATTATTGTTATCATCTTCAATTCACTTACATATATTTTTTGGCTTCACTGTTTTATTTTAGGTTGATGAATACTCCCGCACTTCTGTTCCTTCCATTTGGGCTGTTGGTGATGTCACAGAACGAATAAATTTGACTCCTGTTGCTTTGATGGAGGGAGGAGCATTGGCAAAAACTCTATTTAAGAATGAGCCAACAAAACCAGACCATAGGTGATCTACAAATGCTGAGCTTAACTGATTTAAAAAGTTTAAGATATTAGGGAATTTGGATTCTATGTCATTTTAGTATTCCTCTATTAATTAACAATCGAGTTTACTTTTTTTTTTTTTTTCACAAAGTTGTCTATAATAATTGAGGTGTGGATGAAGTGCTCAAAATGCATAGTCTTTCTTGTGATCCTTTATATTCAAATGGAAGACTCATGTTAACAAAATTGCCTTATCATTTGTTTTTGTATTTTGGGGTTCTATCAAATCAGGCTTGCTTAATAGCATGGATGGCATATTTCTGGGTCCTACTTCTTAATATTTGAGAAAGGATAATGAGGATTAGTTATTAACTTTCCTTTTCCTTGTACTAAAATGAAAAATTATCCTTCCCTGAAAATAAAAGGTTTGGGTGGTTTTGGAATTAAAAAAAATGATTTGATGTAGTGCTTGATAGCTTCCTGACTCTTTTTCTCATCTGGCATTCTGGAGCAGGGCTGTTCCATCTGCTGTGTTTTCCCAGCCACCAATTGGTCAAGTTGGTCTTACCGAAGAACAGGTGATAAGTTGTTTGTCAATTGTCATTTAAGGAACAGTAGTGGTTTGCTGTACTTAAGTTTATATTTTTACAGGCAAAACAAGAATACAGTGATATTGATGTCAGCAAATTTCAGGCCACTGAAGGCTACTCTCTCTGGCCTTCCAGAACAGGTGTTGATGAAACTTATAGTCTGTGCAAGTACAAACAAAGTTCTTGGGTTGCATATGTGTGGAGAAGATGCACCAGAAATTGTTCAGGTTTTAAGCTTGTGCTCTAAGCAGCATTTTTCTTTTGCAAGTTCTGTATTTCTTCTGATTGCATAATTGTAAATTTGTAGGGATTTGCTGTTGCTGTGAAAGCTGGCTTGACGAAGGCAGATTTTGATGTCACAGTAGGTATTCATCCTACAACAGCTGAAGAATTCGTTACAATGAGGACTCCTACTCGCAAAATACGAACAAACTCTTCATCTGAGGTTTGCCAACGACTTCAAGTCTAAGTTGTTCTGCTTTTTTCCATTCAATTCTGGTTTTGTATTGGAATTTTTTTTAATACATTTAAATTAGCTTTAGCTGTCTCTAACCCATTGTAAACTTGTTGACCTTTAAAAAATTTCACTTTGAAAAGATTCACTTTTACAATAAGTTTAAAAAGGATGGCCAAAAAAGTAAGGAAATTATTTTACAACATTGGTTGAATAATATATCTTGCAAAAATTGCCAACTAAAATTTGCTATTACACAATTATTTAGAGGAAGCTGATGATGATGCTTCCTGTTTTGTTAAGGAAAATTGGTTTTCAGAATAAACTTAATATTGAACTTGTTGGAACTGCTTCCTGGCAATCCATTGTTTGTATTCTGTGACCAACTGTTTTTTAATAACACTGATTTTCTTTCTTTTTTATTCACCATCAGCCAAGTTGTTATGATGTTTATTCATCTTCTCATTTAAATTTGTTGCAGGGAAGAAAAGATGTTGAGGCCAAAGCTGCAGCCGGAGTTTAGCAGAGAAGTAATCAATTAGCAGCATAAGATGAGAGGCCCCTTTAAGGTCTAAGCTGTTCCTTCCATATGTTCTCAAGTAGTTAGTCTTTGCTTCAAGTTCACATCGTTCACTTTTTCTTTTTCTTTAATTTTTAAACTAAGGAGAAATTATAGAAAGTATAGATGAATATCATCATTTTGCCACAATACTATACATATGTTTTGCTCTTCTTGGCAAAGCATAATTTATGGTGTTGACAACAAGAAAATAGTAATGATGCAAAATGACCAAACCACTTATCTGCACCCTACACATTATTTTTTTTCACGGTCAACACTCAAGAACACTCTCCATAATTTAAAACCAGTGAAAAAACCAAAAAATTAATGGTCAAAACCCCTATTTGCAGCTTAATTTTGTTGGTAATTTGAGGTTTTTTACAGATTTCAAATTATGGAGGATGTTGACTGTGAAAAAAAAATAATAATATGTAGAGGGCAAATAGAGAGTTTGGGCTTGCAAAATACTCTTTGCTTTAATTGTCTCAGTTAAATTGATAGAAATTTTATATGATTTAGAAGGTAGAGACTGAATATAAACAGATATGAGCCTCCCTTGGTTGGTTCAAATGCATCGGTCTTCATATCTTAACCTCCAAATTTCTGAATACCAGATATCACAGACATTTTGGCAGGTTAGAGTACAGACCAAAATCCCATTCTGTGAATAGTCGACGGAAATCTCCTGTGTCATGACCAGTCACAGGAAGCAAAGATGATAAATTACAGCCATATAAAAGGATACTGGACTATGAAATGAGAATTACAAGAAATTGATAGGGTAGTTCCTTTGGGCGAGAGAAGAGGTCTCTAATTATTCTCTGTTACGGTGATTGATGAAATTTTGCAATTCTTATTTCTTTTGAGACTGTATGCTGTAAGGGATTGTGTGAATTAAATTAGTAAGTATTGTTTTTAAGTATCCACATTCACCCTAGCAATTTTTGAAGTTATTCATATAAAAATTGAAGCATGGAAAGCCAAACACATTCTACACACTAAAAAGGTGTTTTTAATTCTTAAAGATGGTATCCGAGCACAAAGAAGTTTTATAACCTCAAAATGCTAATATACCGGCATACAAGTTTCGTTAGGCCAATATATCAAGTCGATATGGGGGAGGATTGGTTTTGTGATACATACAATTTGGTTCGAAAACATCTTGATCATCCAAACAAAAGGTAAAAATAATAAAGAAATTTCATTCTGAACAGTTGTATATATCAACCTACGAAGATTGAAGGCGGAATTTTTAATTCCAAACACCATTCACGTGCCACCTCCTATTTCCTCCAACCTACTATGTTTCCTTCGTAAAACATTATTAAGAACAATAGAGTTCAAAAACAAGAATCGCCAGCTTCTGTCTAGTATTACAACAAATGATAAACGGATTCTCCGTATTTCCACAGGTGGAATACATACGAAGAAAACCGTTTCCACCCAACTCAAAATCCCAAGGGGTGTTATACGTATGGGACTTGCTGAAAATCAGTATTGTTGGGAAATATTTTCCAGGTTTTTGTTTTGCCCTTCTTGACCAAGCACTCCTTAGAAATAGGCCATGAACTTCTCAATAGCCTGTAAAAAATCAATAACACAACAGAACCATGTTACATATATGTATCTAGTGTCATATATTTCTTATATATAACGAAAACAACAATTTTAAGCATTTTTAAACATATATAAATTTCATACCTTTCTGAGTGCAAATGGAAACCAAAAGCCTGGAAAACATTTTCCAGCAAAACTGATTCTCTGCAAGTCCCATGTGCGTAACACCCTGGGGATTTTGAGTTGTGGAAACAGTTTCCTTTGTACACATTCCACCCGTGGTAATACGGCGAATCCTTGCGGTGTCTATCATTTGTTGCCAGCAATATTATTCCCTAGACAAAAGCCAACGATTCTTGTGTTTGAACTCCATTTTTCTTGAAAGGTTTTGGGAAGGTCGGAGGAGGGATGTGGATGTGATGTGCCATATGCTATGCTAAAGGTAACGAAAAAAATGGAGGAATGGAAGTGAGATGGCTGGGAATGCGAAGGATTAAGATTTTTATAGCCAACTTAAGGAAAAAAGTCTAAACGTTTGAAAAATGATTCTCATGTAAAAAGGAAATAAAAAATAAAATATACCTGGACCGACAAGTACTATTTGTACTTTGTTGGCCAGCACATCAGGTGCAACCGCGTAATTGGCTGCGTATTAAAAAAATCAAGAGGTAAATGATATTTTATAAATTAAATTTGAAATTTAAGTTTTAAAGATAATATTTAAAAAAATTAATTTTTTAAATATATAAAATTCATATGAGATATGTTATTAATGTTATTTTAAAATATTAATTTTAAAATATGTAAAAATTAATATAATAATATTCAAATGGTAAATAAAAATAAAAAATAAAATAAATAATGAGATTATTTGCACACGGTTGCGTAAGAAGGGAATTTTTTTAAATTTTAATTTGGGTTGAATTGGGATTGCGGGTCTGCATATAAAATTAAATAATAAAATTATTGGTACCCACAGCGTCGGCTGCTTCAGTGTCATATAATTGAAGGTCATCTAAGTATATATAGGTTCTTCTTCAGTTTTATTAGTATAAAATTGAAAACTTTCTAGATAAACCCAACCACTGGGTAGGAGACTAGTAGTGTATTTAGGTCTACAATTCCTTATAGGCCCCACCAGCACAGCATCATCAAAAATTTCATTTTCTTCTTACCTACTCCAAGGTCCACCAGCCTCATTTATGACTTCATCTAGATTGCTGGAACTTCTAGCAGCCTTATTAACTACTTTAGACTTTAGAGTTCGTTCCGACCTCAAGAATGGGTTGAATTAAATATGATTCCAAAAGATAGGATTGAATTAAATTATAGGATTTGCCTAATTTATATATTTATGGTATAATTTAAGAGTATAATAAATATATTTTTTAATTAATTTATATTAAAAATTATAAAAATTGATATGTATTTTAATATTATTAATACATAAATAATTTTAATTAATTATTAAATAAATCAAAATTAATATTTATATTTTTAATAAAAATTAATTATAAAAAAATATTTATTGTACTTTTATCTTCTGTCCTTACATGATAAAAAAATGGTTAAAACCCCTTTTTGGTCCCCAAATTATTGTACGGACCCCTGATTTAGTCCTTGAACTAAAAAAATCCCTAACTTGGTCCCTACTGTTTACCAATTTTACCCCAATGTGGTCCTTCCGTTAAAAATCGTCCGTTAACTCACATATATATTTAAGCCACGTCAGTTGTACAACTGGATAAATGATGACATGGTCATACCCAACGCAAAAACAAAAGTGGGGCCCACCAAATTACAATTTTGCATCATCTTCTTCCTCCAGCATCTTCTTTCTCGAATCTTCCTTCATTCACATAATCAATTCAATCAAACAATCAATTCAATATCGAACCCAACAAGTGCCCTTTCTTTTTCCTTCCTCTTCCTTGCCTTGCCTTCTTCATCAATCAATTCTTCATCTTAATCAAACAACCAAACCCACAAAAAAAGAAAAACAAACAGAAATTTTTTTGCCTTTGGATTCGAATGAACCCAGCTCTTGGGTTCTCGAAGGAACCCAGTGCCTAGATTCAAGAAGAAACCCAGCGCCTGGGTGCAAACAAAACCCAGGCGCCTAGGTTCGAGAAGAAACCCAGTGCCTGGGTTCGATCGAACCCAGCACTGGGTTTGAAGGAACCCAGAGCTTGGGATCGTCGAAC